CTAACCACCAAGTGTTACTAGGTATTTATGCTAAATTGACTTCAAAACAAACCAAAGTAGGAAACATAATTTTGAGGATCAGAACAAAATTTAAATTGGCAGATACAAAAGCAATTGTAGCTAAATTAAGAACAAAAGAAACAAACTAATTATTTTCATATTATAAAAATAAATAATTATAAATATATATATTCAAATAATGGTTTAACTTATCTCAAGACACTCAATGCACCATCAATATCAAGTCTTTGGACAGTAATATTAACCTCTAGGGGTATCTTGTTGTAATGATCAAACATTGACAATAAAGCATGTCCAACAATAAACCAGTCTTTGGATTAATTTATCATAGATAAAGAAAATCCTTATAATTATCACATGTTTATCATTACAAGTGTGTATGCAATTCGGCCAAATATTAACCTTCCTTTGAGCTAACTAATACTCGCATGAATATACACAAACACTAACATTCAATATTTTTTACAAACTACCCAATTTAAGAGAAGTTACTTTGGTGACTTCTTGACTCAATTTTCTCACAAAAAATATTAAACTATATTAAGTGGTAAAAGTTAATATAATTATGCTCTTAATTGTTATGTAACCACTTAAATATTATTGATTTTAATCTATTTTTCTCCCAATGTAGGATGAATTGGTAGAATACCTTGATACAAGAACAAATATCATAATTGTGAAGATAATTGAAGAAAAAGTGAAAGAAAGAAGAAGATTCTCAACTGGAAATTTGCTCGAACGTCATCTACGCTCGCTTGAGTGAATATACGTTAAAACTCTCGGGAGTTCACTCACTCAAGCACCTTCCATATTCACTTGAGCAAAAATACGACAAACCTCTCGGGAGTGCACTCGCTTAAGTGACACCTACTCTCGCTTAAGCGAAAATACGACAAAGTTCTCGTGTTTATACTCGCTGAAGCGAACATTTCTCGCTTGAGCAAAAGTTACTATTTTTCACTCAAGCGAATAATGAATCACTTGAGCGAATGATGCGAGTCCAAGCCCAATATTTTCTATAAAAAGATAAGACGCGTTTTGAGACGTAATTTTAGGTTTTTGGAGAAGAGGCGCGACTGTTGTTCTGTTCTTCAAGGATTCTTCAATTCTTCCTCATTTTTAGAGCATTGTAATGGCCACCATGAGTGACTAACTTCATTCTCTTGGGATTGGGTGCAGTTCCTTTGAACTCTTTTGTATCTTGGTGATATTTTGAGATATTAATCTATGTTTTTCATGTTGTTATTCTTATCCTTTTATGCTTTTGAATGATTATTCTTGATGTTTGGGATATGATTGAAAAATATATCTTGAACCCTAGATCATGGTAAGAATATTTGTTACATTAATTGCCAAGAATGGAATGAATGTATCAATTGCTTAACACCCTAAACCTAATGCTGAAAAATCTCTTAATTGTGTGTGAAATCAACATTTATTAAGATTTCTTATGAATTTCATGTGTGAGGAATCAACATGGATGATTTAAGTAGGTGACATCAAAATTGTTAGGTTAATTGATGTTCTTAATTAGACATAGTCATTGCAAAAGAGGGAAAAGGAAGGAAACCAATCCTAAGTTCCTTTAATTGATCTTTTCTAAACAATTTACACTTCTTTGTCATTTAATTTCAATTCAACTCTTTATGCAAAACCTATTTTGTTTTAATCCACTAAGTAAGCAAATAATTGGGAATTTCCATTGACACCGTTCCTTGTGGAATCGACTTTTATTTAATCGAAATACTATATTGCGATTGATAATTTTGGTACGCTTGCCAATAATTCAACAAACTACCAAAAAATTGAATATTTTATTTATATAACAAAACCAAATATTTATTATTTATTTATTTAGAGTTAACAATGCAAACTAATTCAAAAGACAACCACCTCATTAGAATCTCACTAAGGATGAACACCTCCCTATAATCACACTAGGCATGAAACAGAGATAGTTTTGACCCTCTTTAACACACTGCTCAAGAAACAGTGCAACCACCTAAATCCTAAAAGGGAATTAAACAGTAACCACTTAAACCCTAAACAGAGAATTTAACATCAACTTCCCTTAAATCCCCAGAGGATAAAGACAATAAAATAAGAACAGTCACACCTGTGGAAACATTCACCAGTTGCCTAAGATCCTTTGTGTTGGGAACTCCCCCAACATCACCCCAATTCCAAACCCATCCATATCCACCATAAAAAGAAAGCGAAAACAAAACCCAGAAAAAATAAAATAAAAACAAAAACAAAAGATTCAAAGAGAACAGAGAACCCAATACAAGAAAGATTGAAACTTGAAACAATATTTCTTTCTCAGTAAAACTTGAAACTTAAACCGAAACAAAATGGAAAAAACAAAGAAGAAGAAGAATCCATAGTTTCCTTTACTACGATGATGAAAATTTATCTCTTTATGATGAAATTGATTGGGTTTTAAGAAACCCTGAATTAGCCAATTTGGGAATCGCATAGTGCAGTGGATTAACACATTCAGATAAAAATTGGGGTCTCCTTCATGGTTTCATCAGCCAGCAGAATCAGATTGGGGATGTTACCCCCAAATTTAAATTTTAGGATTCACAAACATGGAGATTTTATAAATTAAATAGAATTTGAATTTTTTAAATATTTCCTAAGACAGACATGAATTAAGTATCGGTTGTTCTGATACCAATTGTTAGAAAACTAATAATTATGATCATGATTTTGATTCTAACGATCAAACATAAACATATTGTTAGAAAACTAATAATTATGATCCTGATTTTGATTCTAATGATCAAACATAAACATTATCCCATACTCATAAACATGTTGTAGACTGAATGAGAAAGCGTACCAGAATTAGCCATAATGATGATGTCCATTTTAGAGTACTATTTATCTTATGGTCTTCCACCTGAAAAACACCTTTATTTTCCCTCTAGATTTTCTCTCTTGATGGGGATAGAAAAAAAGAAACAGGAACTAAGACTTACGTTTGCTCTTAGAAGGGGACCATAACCCTTTAAATAACTAGAATTAGGTTAATTACTTAAGTTTTAGTATTTCTAATTTGGCCCCTCATTAAATTAGAAATTATTTTATGGTCTCTACACAATTTTATTTTCATGGCATATGCCTTTAGTCAAAATTTTAATTTAGTCATATCACTTTATTATTTGGCTTAATAAATAATGACCCTAACACATTTAAATTATGTATCATATATATGCATGACCCAAAATTTTCCAACAAGGATTTACTTCAATAGGTGAAGAATATAACCATGACTTCTTCTCTCTTAAATCTTTTAAAAGAAAACATTCACTAAGAAGAACAAGAGGATAATAAAAGTGTATTACGGTTGTTAAATTGTAATTTCTTCGGTCAATGAACTCCTCCTTTTATAGGCTTCAAGATGTGATGACAAAATCCTTAACCTTCATTATTTTCTTGAAATATTTCTTCAATCGTATGATATTTTTTATATTCCTTTGATATTTTAGTATATTTGGATTGTAGCATATTGTATGTTTCTTTTTTTATGTAAATATTGACAGTTGGAGAAAAATATTTTCTTCTATACATCTTGAACAAATCGATATACATGATATTTTTCGTCATATTTAGGAAGTCTTAATATTATTTGTTGTGTTGTTAGTTGATTCCTATTGTATTATATTTTCATTCTAGGATAATATTTGAATTATGATAATTGCACATATTTTTACATTTAATTAGCCTATAATCATATATATCTTTTTTCATATTTTGGAATTTCACTTGATAGTGTGTAATTATTCTGCCTATAAAACTCAGCTGGTCCAATATGAAATTATTAATTTATTTCCTATAATACACTTAACAAACATGTTAAATAATAAAAAACTTAATCATATTTATGACTTAATCATATTTATTATTTTCAAAATCAGGGTTTTTCTAACATTAGGTTGGCCTCTTGTGATGAGATTTGCAGGGGTTCCATGGAAGAATATTTGGGTAGCTTGACGGCCTATATTGGAATTGCTCGTAAGAAAAGTTGGAAACAAAATATGGCTTGAATGTGACTCCAAGACTTTGATGTATATTTTCTCCAAACTTGAGTTGGTTCCTTGAAAAAGCAAAAGTAGATGACTCTTTTGTAATAATATTTGTAAATAATGTGTCACATATTTTTATAAGAAGATAATAAATGTGTTGATAGGTACGCTAGTTGTGGGATGCAAAAAGGAAAAGTTTTACTTGATCAGTCTCTTCCTAATTATATTATATTATATATGATTTTTTTGGAAATAGATATGGACTTCGGAAATATATGTTCATTTGACACATGAGTTTTGATTTGGTCCCCTATAATTTGTATTTGTTTTTCATTCTATTCTATCATCATGAGAGCATATGATTTGTCTTTTTTGGATGGCAAAGTTATACAATGATGCTTTTCTTTTTATTTAAAAAAAAAAATCTTCCTGATAAACAATATCTTAAATTTATTAATTGACTATAATAATAATATTTTAAAGTTAGAACATTAACACCATTACATCAATAAATAAAAAGTAAGATTTCATTTCATTCTCCTTTATATATATATATATATATATATATATATATATAAAATCAAAGTTGGAAGGGAATCTAAACTCTAAAATAGATCATATCTAACTAACCTGAAACAAAATTTTTTATATAAAAGTAGGCAAAAGCTTCTAACTATATTTTTGCTCTTTATAAATAATACTAACTGCTTACAACACAAGTGCAGTCTACACCTTCTCTCAGTGTGACAAATTGGGACACTGTTTCTAGAGAAAATAATCCAAAATCATGTAAACCACACATTTCCCAGTTTCCACTCCCATTATTACATGCACATTCTCCAAACAATCCGTGGGTATTAACCATTTAACTAACTTTACATAACTCAAACTCCCCCATCTCTTTTGTCTCCCACTCCCAGTTAAGCTTGTAAATTTCCCCTGAAAATGTCTATCAAAATTTTGGTTGTTTCCTTCATGTTAACCTCACTACTGTTCTTTCTTCTTTTCATTCCCACAAGATTAATCATACCCGATTCCAGCCTCAAGCCTTCTATGAACTACTTCAACACCACCAAGGCCAACAAGTCATATCCAGTCACCTTTGCCTACTTGATCTCTGCTTCTAAAGGAGATTCTGGGAAGCTCAAAAGGTTGGTGAGGGTTCTTTACCATCCAGGAAACTACTATTTGATTCATATGGATTCTGGGGCATCAGAAGCTGAGCATAGGGATGTGGTCGAATATGTGGCTCAGGATCCAGTTTTCGGTCAATTGGGGAATGTTTGGGTTGTGGGGAAGCGTAATTTGGTCACTTATAGAGGACCAACCATGCTTTCTACCACTCTCCATGCTATGGCAATGCTTCTCAGAGTTTGTCAATGGGATTGGTTTATTAATCTCAGTGCCTCTGATTATCCCTTGGTTACACAAGATGGTACGGTGAGTGGCCTTAGTTTATGGCTATTTTGCACTTGTTTTGTATGAAACATTTCAATTGTTGTGTTTATGGCTTTAAACTTTCGTTCCACACGTGGTTAATGGCATCAAAATTTGTTGCTCTGAATTGAGCTCGTCAATTAATGATGTCTGTGGTGATTGTCATAATGATTGACTCAAAATTAAAAGAATGGAATTTTTTAATTTTCAGATATGATACAAGCCTTTTCTCAGGTTCCAAGGCATATCAATTTCATTCACCATAGCAGTCAGTTGGGTTGGAAACTGTAAGTACCCAGTAGTATTTGTTTGTTGCAAGATTTTCCATCTTACACCAAAAAATTTAACCTTCTATACCCATTTCAGGAACAAGAGAGGGAAGCCAATAATTATAGACCCAGGGTTGTACAGTCTCAAGAAATCACAGATTTGGCGGGTCACTAAGCAAAGAAGTCTTCCAACATCTTTTAAACTTTATACAGGTTTCTCTCCTTTTCAATCCTTTAGATTATTGAGAACTTTGCTTGTTTTTATGTGTAGCATGTTTGCATTCACTTCTTCCACTCCATGCATTTATAATTTACTTTCCTTGTGAAATATTTTAAGGACCTAAATGGCTTATACACACAGCATGTGATACTCTGCAATCTGAATAGGGTACTCGTTTTTTCATGGTGCAATTATCAAGGTCATAATTTATTTTGGTCGGTGGGCTCTATTTTGTATTTAGACAACTTTAGGTAGAATAAGCACTGTTGGTGTCGTGTTTTTTCTTAAAATTAGAATGTTGAAAATGTTTCACATAAAAATAAGAGTGTGAGACATTGGTTTTCCTTTTTAGTTATCTTCTTATGTACTTAGTTAGAAGAAGATCTGCATTCGATATCATTTGGGTTTAACATTTGGATCAATGTTTAACTTAGTAAGGATAAAAACAGACAGAAAAGAGAGAATTTTATAAGATCAGTGTCAAAGTTGTACCAAATAAAATAACTAAAAAATAGGAATCTGAACCACTTTACTTGAGAGGTCAAGGGTTCCATCATTAATGCCATGATTAAAATTACTTACTACCAAAATGTCACTTTTTTTTGGTTAGAGGTCATTAGTCAAGGAAGGTAAATTAATTTGGTTGATGCTTGCAGGATGGTAATATGCATAATCTGTTTTTTAAGAACTTTACCTAATGCTATTGTTGGCTGAGCGAAACCCCACAACTTCCTCAATACCTACTAAAACACACAACTCAAATTGTTGTCAAGAATTTTTCAAGGATGAGCTTCGTTTGGTTGTGAAAAAAAAAAAAAAAAAAACAGAAAGGGGAAACAAGAGTCCAAATAAGAGACTATGAATTATTTAATAAATACATATATATATATATATATATATATATATATATATGCATAAGTATTTTTATTTGGTGGGATATACCATTATTTGTGCAAAACAGTGAAGAAATTTTTAACATGATTCATTGTAAAAAGTTGTTGTGTATTAGGCTTTTATAAATGTCAAGGACAATTATTGGCGAACATATATCGCGTGTATTTATATTTTTTATGATGAAAAAAATTACCATAACTTAAAAACTGATTATTATAACAATTATCAAACCAAATGTAAAAAATATATCCATTAATTAATACTAATAAAAAATACATATTTTTTACATAATTAATTTTTTAAATATTTTTTAAAATATTTTTCACTTTTGAAGTTATTTATATATTTATCTTGTTAATTAATGTCATATTTTTTCTCTCATATTTTATTTTTTAAAATATAAAAGTCATAATAATTATTTTTTTCTCTCAAATAATTATTTGTTTAAAATTATAACATTATTTCTGATAAAAAAAGAATATCATAATATATATAGATATATTATAAATGTTGCCCACAAATTTTTCTTTAATCAGGAGTGTTTGTCTTAAGTTTTTTCTGCTTTTTTTTTAAGGCTAATATTCCTTATATTGACTGTTGATATCGGGTCAGAATCTTCGTTCATTAGGTCCTTTATTCAATTGTCATTCCTTATACAAATTTTTAGGTATAAGCAGGATTTTAGGCAAGATTTCTATAAATATATTCCTAAATTGGATATATTCCTAAGTTGAGTACCTCATCGTGGAAATTATGAAGTTGGTTATTTGAACATTACATAAATAAGTATATTTTTTACTCTTTTTTTCTTTATTGAAAGACAATTTTTTATAATAGTAATAATAAATAAATAAAATAATATTTAATCATTTATATTGTTCTTATTATTAATATTAACAAAATAAAGATATTTTTTTAAATTATACCAGATTACGTTTTGTTTTGTTGAATTAAATTTTCTGTTTCATCTACTTCATCTCTCAATTTTCTTTTTCTGTATCAAACATAAACTAAAAAATTGAAGTGAACCAAAAGGAAACATTTTCATAAATCCCTTGTTAGCCACGAAATTTTGAAAATTTCAAATGTCAATTCCGGTGCAAATAACATGTGATGGCACTGACGGTACGTTAGGCACATGGACATTGTGTTGTTAATGACATGTGATAAAAACAATGCACATAAAAACTATTCTCATCTCAATTCACGTGTTTTCTTCTTGAAAAAAGAGTATTTGTTCCTTAGGCAATGCAAATATTCATTGTTACTTGTGTACATTTTCAAATTAATTTTAGAACTAACTTATAAAAAGTAAAAAATTTTACATTTATTTAAGATTGATTTTAAAAATGATTTTTCTAAATGGTTATTAAGAAGAACAAAATCTTCTTTCGATGTCAGGTTTGATAAGGGCTTACATTCTGCAACCTTACCTCAAGATTAATAATGCAGAAATATTTAAATTAATTTTACAAAATACACTTATAACATAAAAAAATGTGAATAATTTTGAATTTAAACGTGAATCTACATATGATAAAAATAAAAAAATTAAATAATTTATAAGTAAAAAAAAGCTATAACTTAGTACATAAAAAAATCTATAACTACTACAAGAAAAAACAGTTTTAGCGACCGAAAAATTCGATCGCAAATGTCAAAAATTCGATCGCAGTTAACGACCAATAAGATGGTTGCTAAATAATTCGGTCACTTATTTCTTAGATACCAAAATAGCGACTAAAATTAATATATTAAATCGAGTTACTAAATTGGTGATAAAGTTAAAAAAATAGCGACCGATTTATATTGATCGCTAAAACGATGATAAAGTTAAATTTATGTTTTTTAGTTATTTACAATCCCTCAATTTATGTAGGGGCTTCCCTAGATTTTATATTATATTTTGTTACTAAATTGGTGGCAAAGTTAAAAAAATAGCGACCGATTTATATCGATCGCTAAAACGATGATAAAGTTAAATTTATGTTTTTTAGTTATTTACAATCCCTCAATTTATCTAGGGGCTTCCCTAGATTTTATATTATATTTTCATTATTCATTAATTACATTTTTTAGAAGTTTGAATTATTATTAGATTATTGTGAATGGCAAGATTCGAATCGAGAACATTGGGATTGGATGTTGATACTCCAACCAATAAACTACTAGGATTTTTCAGTAATAACTTACAAATAATTTATATTTATATACATATAAATATATATCCGTATAAATATATAAATATAAAATCTATAAATACAAATATATTTATATTTTGATATATTTATATATTTAAAATTTAATTTATAAGATGGAAAAATAAATTCTTATAGCTTGAAGTAGAGATGAAAGAAAAGAAAAAGACAAGAACCCTAATATTTTAATAAAGAATTTATAATATAAATATTAAAATATTAAATATAATATTATATTTTTTCAAAGATAATAAATGTTTTTAATTCATTATTTATAAATTTAATTAATTAAAAAATATTAATATTATTCATTAATCATTTAAGAAAAAAATTTAAAATATAAATATTAAATATTACAAATAATATTATATTTTTAAAAACAAATTTTAGAAAAAGGTTTAAAAACATATATAAATATATTTACATGTACAAAATATTAAAGATATCCACATTTTAAAAAAATACCAAAAAATTATACTTTAAAATGATGAATTATATTTTAAAAAAATTATATTTATTAAAGTATTACAAATATTTTGTAATATGTAAGTTAAAAAAATTATCATTAAAATTTTTAAAAATTATTAGTTTTGTAATTTATATATACACAATGAAAATAAATTACAAATATTATAATATATTGGTATATTAGTGTATAATATAGTATATTTGTATTCTAATTTTTAATTAAACTAAAATTACGCTAATAATGTATAAAAAATTACGCTAATAATGTATAACAAATTTAATCCAATTACTTATGTATATATCCTTTATTAACAATTTTTTTTTACTTTTTAAACTTCTCACATTCTACATTTCTTTTAAACTCCATCATTTCTACTACATTATCATCCTCATCTCCTCCCATATTCTATTTTATCTTTACAATAATTAGTCTTCTTTTATAGGATACTTTATTTTCTATTTTTATTATTTATTTTCTTATAATTTAAAATAATTAATATTATTTTAACATTTATTTTTATGATTTTTACTATAATAAATCAAATAAAATGGTTCGATAATATCAATTAATTAAAATCATTATATCAAAAACTTAGATAACTACATTAAAATTATTAATTTTAAAAATATAAAATATATTTAAAAAAAATACTAAAATTATAGGTTGGAAAGAAAAAGAATAAACAAATACATTTTACTTTATATTATATTTAAGTGTGTGCATAAATGTTGACTTTCTTAACTGTAAAGAAATAGTAGAAAAATATAAAGATAGAATTTGAAGAAGTGAATTTTGAAGATAAAGACTATTTTTATATAAATTTATTCTAGTATATCAATTAACAATAATTATACATAAAATTTAAAAACTAAACTAAAAAAAATTAAGTTTAAATTTATAAAAAAATACATTACTAAAAGTATCATATTATATTAAGATTTTCATTATTTTCGTTAATTATAAACTTAAATGTGTTTCATAAATAAAATTATAAATTTAAATATATTTCCACTTTTGATCCATCATAAATAAAAATAAATAGTTTCTTATAAATGTTGTTCTATTTTAATCCATCATTAAATTTGTTTTATATTATTTGAGACAAGTATTTTTATTTTATTTTACTTATTTTTTAACTTCAAATTTATTTTTTATTTTTATTATTTATTTTCTTATAATTTAAAGTAATTAATATTATTTTAACATTTACTTTGATGATTCTTATTATAACAAATCAAATAAAATCATTTGATAATATTAATTAATTAGAATCATCACATCAAAGATTTAGATGACTAAATTAAAATTATTACTTTTAAAAAATATAAAATATATTTTAAAATAAAAATAATAAAATTATAGGTTGAGAAAAAAAATTAGAATGAACTAATATTCTTTATTTATAATATATTTAAGTGTGTGTACCAATCTTGACCTTCATAACTATAAAAAAAATAGTTAAGAAATGTGAAGATAGAAATTAGAGAAGTGAATTTTGTAAATAATTTTTTTTATAAATTCAAGCACTCATATCGAAAAGAAAAG